GAAAAGTCCCTTCCTTCAGGCATATATCGTAGACATCCAGGAATAATGTCGGTGCTGCCCTAAGGATTGATTTCAGGGCAATATTAGGGATTCCGTCCAATCCGTGCCTTATTATTCCCTACTCGATTGCCTGCCTCTATCAACTCATCCAACGTGATAGTTGGGATGTCTTCAGGGTTGAGCTGCTCCAACTTGTAGGTGAATACCGGCTGTTGGGGAAACAGCGCAGTAACAATCTTCTCTAGAAGCTGTGGACGCGTAGGTGATGGCATTGGCTGGCATTTCAGGTGGGTCATAACCACCTTGTAGGGTCTGCCCCATGGATCTTTCTTGACTTCTGCGACCAGTTCCTTCCAGCAGCGTCTTTTGCTTTCTTTGATGGCTCTGTTCAGTTCTCGACAATCCTTTTTATACTCTGCCAACAGTTCTGCGGAGTTAGGTCATCTATAGCCACGCTGAGACTTTCTTCTTTTTTTAAGACACTCTGAGCGTAGAGTGCTAATGTGATCGTTCCACCAGTGCACCGAAGGTCTTGAGTTCATGCCACGTTTCCGAGACATACTAGCGTCGCAAGCCTGGGTGACTCTTCTCATTAGGTCCTTGGTCTTCTCTTCAGCAGTTTTTACCATGATCGGATCGCAGTCTAAGGCTACTACTAAAGCAGTGGGGTCGAGAGATTTAACTTTCCACCCAACCGCGCTAGCGCTCCTGTTGTCTCTTGTTATTTTCTGGCCAGTTGATATTTCCCATAGTATCGCACTATGGTCACTGGCTGTGCAGATGTTCAATACTTTCCAAGAAAAACCTCTTCAGGCTAAGCAACTGCTGACAAATGTGAGGTCGACAATTTAGCTTGCCTCTCCCTTGGTATAGGTTGGCGTGTCACCGGTGTTAAGAAGGATCACGTCCAGTGTGGCCATTGCCTCGAGAAGTGCTTTCCCACGTGTATTAGTGAACTTGCTGCCCCAGTCTGCTGCCCAGGAATTGAAGTCACCAGCTATTGCCACGGGAAAGTGTTTTCTTGCGTCCTCAGTTAGCCGATCACGGAAGTCTTCAAACTGATCATTAGAGAGACTAGGTTGTGCATAGCAGCTGTAGAAGCGGAGGCGATCTACCCATGCTGCTACGAAGCCGGCTTCTTTGTTGTTGACTGTTCTCTGAAAAGGACATTTACCGCAGGACCAGATGACGGCTTTGTTAGTGCTGTCGGATTCCCAGGGTTGATTACTCAAGTGTCTATAAGGCTCACTTATAAGTGCTACGTCTGCCTCTAATTCGCGCACAGTTTGCATGAGCAAGTCATGCGCAGCCTCACAATGATTGAGATTGAGCTGCAATATCTTCATGTTCTTGGCTTCGTTATCTTCTGGAGTGCTTCTAGGAAGACGGGGCATCTATTTGTGCCTGCATGGTGAGCCGCCTTTTCTACGCCGTGCCGTTAAACGCACAGTGCACATTCAGCTGAATTTTTACAATCAGCAATTTTGTGTCCTTCTTTTCCGCACCTTATGCAGTGCTGAGACCGGTTGACTTCCCTTTTGCACTGAGATCCGATGTGCCCAAAGTGCCAGCATTTGAAGCATTGTATGAGTCTCTTCGTTGCTCTCATTCGGCAATTCGACCAGCCTATCCTTATTTTGCAGTTTCTCTCCAGTAACTTTTGTGCTGCAGCTGCTGGTAGTGACACTGTGGCTGTCTGTGTACCCCTAAAGGCTTTACGGATCTTGATTGCCTCTAGTAGGATTTCACAACTTTCTCCAGCTTCCCTCTTTAGAGCGGTCTGAATATGCTCTTTCGTCGTGGCATCATCGATATCTCGGATCTCGATAGTCTCCTGTGGCTCTTTGCAAATCACTTTGGCCTCCTCCTTAAGGATGTCCGCGATCGTCTTTTGCAGACCTTGACCTTTGTCAGTGCTCTTCCTCGAAATCGTAATCAACAAGTCTCCACTTCTGGTCTTGTTGATCTTATCCACAGTTGAACGAACCTGCTCGTCTGGGACGTCCTGCTTTATGCGACGCAGAATCTCGGCATACTTTGTTTTCTCGGCCGGGCGGATGATCAGTGCATCGGGTCTGATCCATTTGCGTGGTTTTTTCCGCTTAGGCTCTGGCCTGGGCTCCTTCGGCGGCTGCTTTGAGAGTTGCTCTCTAGCTAGCCTTCTCTTCTTCTTCTTAGACTGTACTTTTTCCCAGTCAGTCGTCTTTTTGGGTTCGTCGCCCTGCCCTGCCAGTTGTTGGGGAGGGCTTTTTTTCAGGTCCTTCTTCTTTGTGACTTTGTCGGTTGGCTCTGGCGAATCTCGGTCCTTTCTCTTTCCAGACCTTGTGTCAGTTTCACCCTGGTCCTCAGCAGCAGATTCACCGTCACCGTTGGCTCCAGTGTCCATTGCTTCTTCCGTCTCAACTTCAGTTTCAATGCGGCGTCGTGATGACTGCCATTCCTCGTCCAGTTTCTTGAATCTTCCAAGAGCATTGACTACACCGGTTGTCTTGGTCTTTATCTCCTTGTGGATATTGACCTTAGTTTGGACAAACTCTTGTAGCTCAATGGTCAGCTTTTCAAGGCGCTCCAACGCTTGCGTTCTCTTCATTTCAGTGCTTGCTTCAATCGCTGCTTGTTGGGCATGAAGCCCGTTTCTATTCTTGTTTGTTTCCTGTAAATTACTCATACTTTTTGATGGAGATAGTACTCGGAGATAGTACTCTCACCCCAGTTCCCTGAGGCCTAGCCGACACTTAGCCAGTCCCAGAATACACGGACGGACTAGACTCGCTCGGGGCGGTGAAGATTCCGATCTCTAACACTCACTGCGTACTTCCTGATCAAGGTCCGAAGTGACTGGCTCCTGATCCACTACTGCAACTTACACCTCAGCAGAGCAAGCTCACATCAGCCGTGGCCTGCATCGTCGGAAACTACGATACAGGTTCCGGACACTCCCAGTGAGTTACAGCAGGGACCGATCGTCCTGTTAGATCAGTTAGTGTGACCAGCCCATTAAAGGGGAGTTTTGTCCACGGGAGCGTATTTTGCTTGGTCATTTTGCTTGGCTCCTACCCGCTGTACCCCATCAACTAAGAGATTATCCAAGTGTCATCCAAGGACAGCGAGCGTTCTCCCATCCGCCCGGGGAGACGCGCCCGGTAGCAGTATCTCTTCTGCCCCGAATGTGTGTGTGTGTATGTAAATCTCTCATAACTTTAGAACGCATTATCCGATTCAATCGAAATAAGCGGCGCTCCAAAGAGTTCCTTTGCCCTTAGAATTCTGATACTAGTTTACAGAATTTGAATCGATGAATTTTGAGAAATCTCAAAAATAAAATTCCCAAAAATTCGTTTTTTTTTAAATATCTTTTAAACGGCTGAACTGATCGATTCCAAAATTAATCAGCTCTTAACCTCAAAAAACCACGTCGATCGCCACCAGCCCGGTCAAAATCAGTTGATTCGTTCGTGAGATATCGTTGTCGAAAAAAATGTTTTTTTTAGAATTTCTGTGAAATTTTTAGTCTGACCAATTTACGCTTAAGGGTGGAGCCTGCTTTAGAAGCTTCAAAAAATCGATTTTTTCGAGGACTTTTTTGGGAAAGAAAGAAATATTCAATTGAAACGAAACTTTCAGATTTTATTGTTATATATTTCAACAGTCTCCTCGAATTTTTTCATTAAAATATATGTCATATTATGCCTGGTATAAGCATTTCGCCGAGGCACCTCGACTGTGCATATGTCGTGTGGCGGGAAAGATGCAGGTCGCAATTTTCATCTGAAACAAAAAACCCAAAAAAATTTTCATTTTCAATAGTATAGCTTCTAGTTAGACTAAGAAAATTCAACAAAAAGTGAATAATTTAACAATTTTCCGCAAGTTAAAAAAAAATTCATTTCTTTGAAAAAAAAAATTTACTTTAGATTGTTTAAAAAGTGGGTTAATCATAACTTTCTTAAGGTTTTTTAGGTTCAACTAGAAGAGAATTCAATCCCAAATACAATTAATTTTGTCTCGTTTCGATAGGACGTTTAGTTTTTTCCCTATCTTTACCGCCAATTAAGAAAAATCGTAAAAATGAAAAACCGAGAAATCGCGCGACAAAGTTTTCGTATATAAAAAATCGTAATTGAACTTACCGCAATAATATGCTAATCAGCGATTCCTGGTCCATAGAGTTGCCCTTCAGACTTCCCCTTTGGATACGTACAATAGTTACAATAGGTACAACACATACAATAAATCGAGGGGTGGAGCGCGGGCACTCCGAGCGATCCGGCCGCTCGTATACCTGCTCAACGCTTGCTCACTATTTCTCCTGTAACTCCAAAAATATTTTGAATTTGCTTCTGAAATTTTAGTGACATATTCTAGGATAATTTGGGAAGACATTTATGCAAAAAAAATCGATTTTTTGAAGCCTCTAAAGCAGGCTCCCCCCTTAAGGATTTTTAAAAGAACTCAAAAACCTGCGTTGAATGCCGTAAACCGCGAGAAAATCGGTTAATTAATTCAAAAGTTATTGCGATTTGAAAATTCCAAAAATAGTGTTCTATAAAACTTCCATCAGCCTTTTGAGCTCGAAGAGCTCAAAAGCACATAACAGCTATTTATTTGAGCTCGGAGAGCTCAAAATAATACAAAAACTATATTTTTGAGCTCGAAGAGGTATGGGACAGACTTGAAAATTGACTATGGCCCATTCCTGATTACTAGGCATGGGCCGGACTTGAATATTAACTGTGGCCTAACTCTGGTAACCAGGCATGGGCCAGTCCTAGTAGCCAGGCATGGGCTAGTTCTGGTAACCAGACTTGGGCCAGTGTTATCATTCCAGACTTAAGCCAAGACTGGGCCAACTCTGGTTTACAAGCCTGGCCCAGAGTTGTACATAGTTGGATCAGGCCCGGGCCAAGCCTGGGCCCACCATACTTTCCCACATGGGCAATATTCCGTGAATACTAATAAGTAAGAACATTACGGCAGTACTCCACGGAAACAACGATAAAATGCCGCCGGAATTTTGTGTCACAACTGCACGAAATACTCCGCGTTTTTCCACGAAAACTGCGTCTAAACTCCGTTTAAATCTCAAGTAAACTCGATGAAGGAGTATACTCCGCAGAAACGCCGTGTCATCCGAGTTTTTACCGGGTTATCGATACTACTAGAGTTTGTATTATCTTGATTACAATCGGTTATATATAATATACGGTATTCGCCTGCATATGTGCTCTTTACATGCAAGAACATATATGTTCTTCACTATGAAACAAGGAAACTTGAGTTAAAAAAAAAAAGAAGATAGTTAGATCAAACTTTAGAGATCTGAAAGTATTCTAATAATCATTGAAGTTTAAATCTACTATCCGGTAGCAAAAATTGATACTGCATAAATTATATTATTTTTTTTCATCTAAGAATACGAAAATTTCACGCTCAAAATAAAATCTAGGTGCAAAATCTGGAGAGTATGAAGAGTTACGAGAAAGTTCATATACAAAACTTTTGAATAATGGCACATTGGTACTACAACACGTAAAGGAGGACAGAGAAGGCTATTACCTCTGTCAAGCTAGTAATGGGATTGGTACTGGTATTGGCAAAGTAGTACAACTGCGAGTAAACTGTAAGTAGATTTAAGTATATTTGACGGTTAATAATAAATCCCTTTTTCTGATTAAAGTAACGTAAATCGAATCTTTAGCTTCGCCATATTTTGCTGCACCTTCGAGACTCGTAACAGTCAAAAAAAGTGATACTGCAACACTTCACTGTGAAGTACATGGTGATAAACCTATTACAATCATTTGGCTTAAAGGTGGAAAAATTGAACTGAATCCTTCAACAAACTACAGGTATTGATAATTATCCCATAAGGGAGCGTCCATAAACTACGTGGTTATATTTTAGCCCTTCTTAGACCCCTCCCACCCCTCAAGTAGCCTAACGTAGCTTTTCTCGTGACCCCCCCCCCCCCCCCCGCCTTGCCCGATGGAACGTGGTTTTTTTACGCAATATTTTCTGCACGGAAAAAAAAATATTGCCAAAATGACTATCCAACGTATCCTCAAATGACGTATTCTTCAAATAACGATCCGGTTTTCTAATTTAAGGATTAATTTGTTTCAGTTGAGCATACAGAGAATAGCTCTTGTAAATATGTGTAGTTTCGTCAAAACAGGCAACCGTTTTGTCAACGTGAGGATCTGTATAGTTGAATCAACTAAATGTAAGGCCTAAAATAATGATACGGATCGTCAGTTTAATGATCCGCTGTATAGCTGAATTGGCTGTACAGCGTATCTCTAAAAAAAATGACTATACGGTGCATAGTCAGAGTAACGATACGTATCCTCATTCTAACGATATTTTTCACTCTATGTGCTTTCTACTTTACATTAATTAGAAAAAAGTTTATTTTGAAGCAATATCATAAAAAAATTGCGTTAACATATAAAATTTTCCGGAAATTAAAAATAAATAAATGCATTGATAAAATAATTTATTAATATTTTATACAACTTTATTAACCCTGATTTAAAAAAAGTATTGAACCATGCAACTGTATATGTATATTGTATGTATATATAGATATACAGTGTGTGAAAAGTGTTGAAAAAGTATTGAATTACATACTTTTTCAATACTTTTCAATACTTTTTTTCAATCAGGGAAGCCTTTTTGATGAATGATTGTTTAAAATATCATAGGATTTAATAACATTTAATAAATCATTTATTAAATACAATTTATGAACTTTTAATGAATAGTTGTTAACTATTTCTAGAGATTATTTAGCTGTTAATAAAAAAGTACTTCTCTAAAATATGAATTTATTAATAGTTCATTATTTTTGCAAACATTTTATTTACAATTCCTTAGAAAAAAATTAGCATCCGTATTTCAAATAAAATTATTAAACAGTTGTAAATTTATTTCACAAAATAATTCTCATTTGAAGAAAACTACGTAGCTTTGCTTTTACCTCGTAGTTTCTTACAAAGTATCGCTAAGGAGCAGGCGCAGTGCGCGAAATGTAAAGCCTACTATCACCCGAGCTGTGCTAAGATAGCTGTGCTTCTGCCTGGTGGTTATTACCAACGTTGTTGCGGTAGGCGTGGATCATCATCAGCCGAAGAACTTAAGGATTTTTTTAAAACAAGAGATGACTAGCTTGCGTAACGACTTTAAAAATGATGTCATGTCCCTTAGAAATGATGTCAAAGATGACATCAAAAGTGAAATTACAACCGTGATTGCTAGTTTTGACGGACTTAGAAATCAAGTTCAGTCATTTTCGGAACAATTTAACAATCGTCTGCGTATTATTGAAGACAAAGTTAAAAATTGTGAAGCACGTCAAATGACTAGTACCAATACATTAATATTATATGATGAAAAAATCACTAAACTTTCTGATAAAATATCTAACATTCAAACTAGTAATGATAGTGATACTATCCTGCATGAAGTGGAAGATCGTCTGGCTAGAAGGAACAATGCATTGTTCCTAGGTATCGAGGAACCGTCAGCAACCTCAACTATGGAACGCAAATCTAAGGACCTTACTAGAGTTCAAAATATATGTGACTCTCTGAATACCAACTACGAAATCTCCTACTGCACGAGGATTGGTAAATACTCGTCAAATTCGCTACATCCTAGACCAATTAAAGTCACTTTCTCTGATCACTCTTCTGTTAACCAGATCATATTGGGTCTTTTAAAATCGAAGAGGGCAATAAACCCTCTGATGTCAGTACAGAATATTTCCATTGTACACGATCGCACGGAGCTACAAAGGAACGAACAAAAGAAAATACGCCAACTTCTCCACGATCGGACAGCAGCAGGCGAACAGAATTTGAGGATTGTAACACGGAATGGAAGAATGATGATATTCAAGGATCGTCAAAATATTTTAGCCTCGACACCGAAGAGTACAACTCCTTAAACTCTACCTCAACAAACCTATCTATTTATTATCAAAATGTTAGAGGACTTAATACTAAACTGGATAATATTTATTGTAAAACTTACGTAGTTATGATTTTTATGCATTTTCTGAAACCTGGCTTAAACCAGGCGTCTTTAATAGCGAAATATTTAATAATAATTACTCTGTTTTTAGGTGTGATCGACGCAAGGAGTTCGGGAGGTCGGGTGGAGGTGTTCTTGTTGCCTGCAGGAGAACAATCAGCGTACTACAAATTAACTTTGATGATATTCTACAACTCTTCCCTCAGATTAAGATTGTGGGAATATTTTTTACAAATATGGGTATTAAGTTTAATTTAGTAAACATCTACATTCCACCGGACCTGCAGGTGCACATCTACTCTGACCTCCTTGAGCTTCTTTCGTCTCACCTTCTTATAGATGCTGGAGTACTGTTTCTGTTGGAAGACCGTACTCTAGCATCTTCAGCTACTTCAGCTACTAATGCATACTAATTTCACCTAATTACCAATTACCAAGTCCTTCTAACTATTGTATAATAAAAATACAAAATATTAACTACCCTAACACTATTTGAAGCTATATTATGAATTATATATTGTTAAACACGAATTTATGAATTATCTATTGTTAAACACGAATTTGTGAACTATTTGTTACAATTATATATAATTATTATATGCCTAATTAGGATTATTTTATTGTTATCTTAATACTAAGTTGTATAGAATATTGTAACACCGAAAAACTTTTATTGTATCTTATATAATTCATTTCTTTTTTCTTTTTATATATATACTAAATGCTATTATCTTTAACGATGTTATTTGGCTACATGCGCCCCTCCTTCTTATGTCAATGTAACTTTCTGTAACCTTACAATTGGCCCTTTAGGGCTGTTAGGTTTATAAATAAAGAAATAAATAAATAAATAAACCTCCTCCCCCCGTTATGTAGCTCAGCGTAGTATTCAAACTTATCCCTCCCCCCTCTCGATAAGGCTACGTGGTTTATGGACGCTCCTTAACTGCGAATTCATTTTTTCATAAAAATAATTGTGAAAAGAAATTCAACTTCATCATTTGTACCAAAGAAAAACGTTTTAAAAAATAAAATTTCTTAACTGCGTATGAAATTTTGTGTAATTTTACAAAAATTAATATGTTCTGGAAAGAAAATTAATAATACTAGAAATAAGTGAAACTCGTACCAAATTAGTTCAATATAATAAAAGAGTTTATATCGGAATGTCTTTTTAATAAATTTTTCCTTATATTTTTTATAATAAACAATTAATTTTTACATAAATAATGACAATTTTTTGGTCTAAATAAAAAAAAACGAAGAAATTATTTTTAGTTTAACTTTAAGCTTAAATAACTTTTGAGCAAGTAAATTTATCGAAAAAAGTTAAGAGTAAGTTTTTGTAGAGCGTTCAATTTCCTACAATAATATTTGTTCGCCATTGCCGTATATGAACTAACATACGAACAGAAATTAATTGTAAAACGTGCCAAAACCCCATGTTATTTAAATGGGAAATGTATCGTCTTTGTGGCAAGGTTTAATATCAATATTAAGGGCTTATATGGGTCTGATATTTTTTTTTAGGTCACGAACTGAAAGTTTTAGGGGCGCTGCAAAGTCAGAAACCAAATTGGTAAATAACGGACACCCTAATACATAGTCCTATAATGCTCTGTACATCTTGTATAATTAATAAATATTGAATCCGTCCTCATACGCTCAGGGAGCTTTCACCATATGGCATTAATTTCATGTTTTGTGAATTGAAGTATGAAAGATTCATCCAAACAGGCAATATCTTGTGGATCCATCTTGACTAAAGACTAAAGCTGATAAAACAGCTGTAATGACTTTTCCAGCGATGGGTTCAAACCCCAACAGCTGAGAAACCAACGTTTCATTCTTTGCACTGTTTCATACGCACAGGCATAATTGCGTTTCCTTGAATGATTTTTCTTCAGGAGACACAGTTGGATGGGATCAAAGTCTTCAAAATGATTGATAAATCTCATCTTTGATAGATCAATTATTTCGGATGAAAAATTAATTACTTTTTCAAGCCAACGTTTTTTTTTCTCACTCAAAACATAAATGTATGAGTCTCTCGCAGCATTTCTTCGACTTCGGTATAGAAGAATGATCCTTGATCCCATTTAATACCATGCTTTCTCAACCAAAAATCTTTGGTCTCCAAGACCATAAATTCATTGGTGTATTTTGCTGGTGGTTCAAAAGTTGCTAGCGCAGCAGAACTAAAAAAATCCACTTCATCACTTAGCGAGATAACAGCAAGCTCTTCGACAATAAAAGATCTATCAAGCATGTAGAAGCCTTCAAAATCAATGAAAATCTCCATCTTCTCGGCTTTAAGTGCTCAAGTTCGAGAACCGAAACTGAATGATGATCTCGCAGAGCAGAGCAGATCAATCCTTACCTCGGAAGCACAGTGTAGAGGGGGAAATTGTGTCAGATTCTCAGAAGATTGCGTCAGAGCAGCCACCAGATGGCAGTTAGCAGCCACCACATGGCAGGCTCAAAATGGTGGATTTCAGACTCAAAATAGCAGGACAATTCAAAATAGCAACCACCAGATAGCAGATTCAAAATGGCGAACTCAAATTCAAAATGGCGGAAATCAGATTCAAAATGGTGGATTCACAATTCAAAATGGCAGATGGCAGCCTCGAGATGGCAGATAGCAGCCTCCAGATGGCGGATTCACGATTCAAAATGGCGGAAATCAGATTCCAACTGGTGGATTCATAGTTAAAAATGGCAGATGGCAGCCTCGAGATGGCAAATAGCAGCCTCGAGATGGCAGATAGCAGCCTCCAGATAGCGGATTCACGATTCAAAATGGCGAATAGTAAGATTTA